TTTGCTCTTCTAACTCAATCTGCAAAAACCTACAAACACACATACAGCACCAAAAGTACTCAGATAATATTTTTGGACTATGTCAGAATATAAAAATAGATCTATTCAATATTGGTTTAAAAAAGGCAAAATACAAGTTTATAGTTATGCAAATGAATATACAAAGTTTCAAGCAGTAAGAAATTAAAAACCATCACCAGCGGGGTTTTTTAACTGGTGGTTAAATTTTCTATAAAGCTTCTGATGTTCCTGATTTAACAAAACAACTTCTGGAAGTCTGGGCTTGATATTCTTTAAGGAAGCTACACACTAGTACTTGTTCAACAGGGCTGCCCTCCTCTCACCTTACCCAAGTCCAGAACCTTCCAGTATGAAGGAAATCTATGTCTCAGAACAAGCCCGAACATGTTACTCACTGGCAGACCAGCTGATACAATCCTCCTCCTACTGAAAACATGTAGTTCACTAAATTCATATGACCCCAGTGGATGTTTTTACCTCTTAAGACAAAGAAATGCTACACTTAAAGGGTAACATTTAGAGAAATGCTCAGAGAAGTTTAAGTACTCGGTGCAAAATGCTAGACTAATGATTTTTAAAAGTCTGACGATCTATATAGCACTTTATAGCTGAGCAATCAAAAGTAATATTAGTACTTTCACCCTCTTAATCCCAAGGCCCCTCCTCATCTAATGAATGGTGTACCCATTTAAAGAGCCACACCAAAACCTGCATAAAACAAGCAAATGTAGCAACTAAAAGGGAACAAAGAGGAATGCCCAAGTATGTACCCCAACCTCTCTTCCTCCCTGCCACCACTCTACACCTCAGTCTTTGCCCCAGCTTGCTGGACCACTGCCCTAGGCCAACCATCCTACTGTTCTTCCAAAAACATCTTCTAATCAAGTCTCCTACTCCCTGGGATCCCCAATCCCAACAAAACCTTTCAGTGGCTCCACAACTCTTAAAGAATGACATTCCTCCTCAACTCAAACCCAAATAATCTCTCCCTGAGATTCCCAGTAGTCCCCAACCATTCTGCCATTATCAAAGGCCACTCTTAGCCCCTCTGCCACACACACCCCCTCCCATGCATTTCTTCAATAAATGAGGGGTACAGTGTTACCACAGTGCCTAATGGGTGTGGCTAATAGGCAAATACTCAGTGATAGCTCCCCTCACCACTGAGGTCTTCGGGCTTAGGGTATCTTCCTCCTTAATCTCCAAAGTCATCATACCTTTCCTCCAAGGACAAGGTATACCGGGTCAGTCTTCCCATAAAGTCCATGATCCCTCCCTTGAGTGAACCTTGATTTCAGACATTACACCTGCTAGATTCTAATGCCCTGACTTCCACATTACTAGATTCCCTCCTCCTACAATCTTTCTAAGACCTAGAATTTTGTTCCTTGGGTTGGCAATCTTCTATTCAAGATAATTTGCAACACTAGCCATCATATGCTCACAAAATACAAAACAGTAGTTACCCCAAGGAAACATAAAATGGTCAAACATTAAAAATAACAAAAAATAACACAGATACTAATTTATTTGTGGTTTTAATTTTCCACACTATCACTGTCACCATTGATGAAAATAATACTTTACTGTATTTATTCAACCTGAGGAATCAGTACACAGACATGTACAAATTCATTCTACAGACACTTCTTCATAAACAGATGGCGGCTCAGCGCCTATGGCTCAAGTGGCTAAGGTGCCAGCCACATACACCTAAGGTCGGGGATTCGAATCCAGCCCGGGCCAGACAAACAACAATGACGGCTGCAACCAAAAAACAGCCGGACGTTGTGGTGGGCGCCTGTAATCCCAGCTACTTGGGAGGTGGAGGCAGGAGACT